GTGTGGCATGCGATGATCTTTGACCCTTTTTGAACTTTAACTTAATCGTTTGGGTTTATTTTACCCCCCACTATACTTAAACTTGTACTTACCGACTGCCATAGGTCTCGACAACTTCATGAAATATAAATCCAATTATAACACAAAATGAATTAATCCAATGCACACCAGACTGCAGCCATGTGCTAATTCCATTTGGCACACCTCGGCTGATTCCGTCACCTTATCAGATGAAGTGGGAATCGGCCGAGGTGTGCCAAATGGTGTTTAATCTAAAAATATGATAATGGGTGACGACGTGATGTGATGTAGAAATTTATAGTACAAGAACAAATTTTAAATTAATTCATAACAAACGATGTTTTAACAAAACTTTTCCATCTAGCCTATTCCAAAAAGTATGTGCTGTGTGATTGTAGTGTCGAGGGGGGGGATTAGTAAATTTAAAAAGGTCCTATTATGAGCAAAACATTTATCAAAATCTAATTTACATCATAAATAGAATTCAAACTGGTATATAATGAATTAAGCATGTAAAATAAATATAAGAGGTTCTGAGTTATAGGTCACAGGGTCTGAGAATTTCATACTCAATTTGATGAATACATGTAAATTATAGAATTATTTTGACTTTTTCCTTGGAAAGCCGCCCAATATGTAGGAGCGTGTATTTAGAGGCAAACACCTTAGTGCGGGTATTACTGTCTCATGACAGCATCTAGTTGAAATCTTGCCACAAAAAGAGACTTAATCAAGGATCATTATTCTATTTATTACTTTTGTAAAGTTTTAAGTCCCAACTGCTTATTTTCTCCTCCTTTATTATAAGTACAAACCAGTAGAGCTACAGTCTCGACAGAAACTTCTGTTTTTTTTAATCTTGGCTCCTTTTGGGAAGGATAGGGTCACAAAAGGGGGTCAAAGTATTGCATAGGAATGAAATAAGCGTTAAGGACCAAGGTCCTCATGTATAAACTTCTTGTTGAAAATATGGCATATGGAAAAACTTTTCATAAATGACTACAATGATTCAAACAACTAGGCTTGCTCGGGATGCTGAATCTTACCTACATTTTCCAGATGGATGACCAGGCTAAGGTTTTTGGAACAGGTCCATTCCCAAGTAACTACAAGCCCTAGCAGAGCCGAATTTGCATGGTTGATACATATAGGGATAAACACTAGTCTACTAGATTTGCTTCAGATGCTGAACTTGACCTACATTTTTTTAGCTCACCTCAACGAGTATGGGGGAGCTTACATGATACCCAAGGCATCGGTGTCATTGTCGGCGTCATACCTTAATGTTTTTTGGGGTTTTTTTTGTAAGTAGTTCTATGTCCTATATGATCATACATGCATTAAACATGCTTCTTGTGTGTGACATTGATCAGACGATGTTTCAAATGCTGCATTTCACTGAAGAAATAACCAGGTTAATGTTTGTGGAGCAGGTTAACATTTTTGGTGCAGTTTTTGGTGTAAGTCTTATTTCCAAGAAATTATTAAGTCCTGTGAAGACCAAACTTGCATGGATGATGCGTAAGGATGCACACTACCAAACTTGCTTCGGATGCATGATCTGACCTACATTTTCTTGATGAGTGAACAGGTTGATGTTTTTTGTGCAGTTCTCATTTCCAAGATACTATGAGCCCTATGATGACCAAACATGCATGTTACATTTAAGGATGAACACTGATAGACTTACTTTTGATGCTGGATCCTACATATATTTTCCAGATAATGGACCAGGTAAAGTTATGGGTGCAAGTTTAATACCAAGAAACAATAAATACTATATTAACTTGATTTGCATGAATGATGCATCAAGGGATGAACACTTTCAAACTTCAGATGCTGGATTTGAATTATATTTTATTGATGGGCGATTTGGTTGGAGTTTTTGGATAAGACTATTTCCAAGTAATTGCAAGCCCAATCAGATCAAAATTGCATAAATTTTGCATTTTGGGATGTAAATTTCTAGAATTATAGTTAATTGTGGGACTTTGCCTTACTTATAGACAATATTCGTTGATGTGAACAATCTAATTACCTATGTTTTAGGTGAGTGACCAAATTAATCAAAGCTTTTGGAGCACGTTTATTCCCAAGTAACTATATGTCTTACCTGGAAATAATTTGCAATGATGAAACATCTAGGGATAGACCCTACCAGATTTGCTTCCAGTGCTAGATTTGGCCTACAATTTCAGATGAGTAACCAGTGAAATTTCTTGGAGTAGCTCTTTAATTCGAAGGCCTGTTTAACTTGCATGGATGATGCATCAAAGAATGGACAATCGAGACTTGCTTTGGATACTGGATCTTATCTACATATTCTAAATAAGTAACCAGGTTATTATTTTTTTGGAACTAAATCCCAAATGAATTTTAACACCTATTTAAACAGATGAGTGACCAGGTTCAAGTTTTTGGAGCAGGTCCATTGCTGGATCTGACATATATTTTATTCCCAAGTAACCATAAGCCCTACCTGAACCAAACTTGCATCTAGGGATGGACACTACCAGACTTGCTTCGGATGCTGGACTTGACCTACATTTTTATGGCGTCGAACGAAGCTCGATTGTCATCTAGTGATCAGTCAGATTTACGCGACCGAATGTGTCAGTGGATGCATTCGAAGTAGAAAATAGCAACAGCTGTAAACCAATTTCTTTCAAAACGCTCACAATGAATAATAGCTTGAATATTAAATAAAATCAATTGTATCTTCAATTAATTCTACTACAGAACAACAATATTATGTTTAATTTTTAGGCAAGAAAAACGTTATGGTTGTTGCAGATGAATTTCTACAGAGAGGATGCATCGATTGACATTTTGTTACTGATTACTGTTACAGTAATACAAACAACCTTAAAGGGCGGGGCTCTATGGATTATATAGAGAAAATACATGAATTCTTTGAAAATCTTCTTCTCTGCTCTTAGGTATTAAATGACGTAACTAAGTGCATAATTATGATGAGCAAGAGTGCCTCTACCAAAATTGTGAATTTTATGACCCCAGGGTCAGGGGTTCTGGTGTTAGGGCGGGGCTCTATGGATTATATAGTGAAAATACATGAATTCTTTGAAAATCTTCTTCTGTGCTCTTAGGTATTAAATAAAGTAACTCAGTGCATCTTCTGCTCGATCTGCTCTTAGGTATTAAATAAAGTAACTAAGTGCATAGTTATGATGAGCAAGAGTGTCTCTACCAAAATTGTGAATTGTATGGCCCCAGGGTCAGGAGTTCTGGTGTTAGTGCGTGGCTCTATTAGTTATATAGTGAAAATACTTGAATTCTTTGAAAAAATCTTCTTCTCTGTCTCTGGATATGAAGCAGATGAACTACCTATATATTTATGATGAGCAACAACCCTAAACTTGCAGAATTGTGAATTTCAAGGCTTCAAGATCAGGGGTACCATAGAGGATGAGGGCTGTACTTACATGTATATACTGAAAATGAATGAATTGTTTGAAATCTGCACCTTGATATTACATGTAATCAAATTTTTTGAAAGGAAAGATGCCTTTTCAAAAATTTTGCAGTGTGTGGATCTAGGCCTAAGGGTCAGGGATTCGTGTGTGGTAAGGGCACTAGTACTGACTATTGCTAAATATATTACTGATTAGTTGAAATGCATTTTTTGTTACCTTACCCTGCCAATGGGTATTAAGTTACCAAGCTAAGCAAGTGTATTGTTGTGATGATCAATGGTTCCTCTTTCAAATACCGTAAATCTGGAAAATTTTACACCGATTTATTTTTGCGAATTTGGGTCAAAAAGCCGTTGATTAATTTTTACATTTCAAATTTTTGCGAATTGTCATTGGTGCTAAAAATAAAATCACTGAAGATTTTCATATCAGGTTATGTTTCAAATAATATGCTCAGTTAGAATACCACCAATATACTCGCAACGTGGCAAGATATTGCAAAATCGCTCCAAACAATTTTGAATACGAAAGGATTTGCACGGAAAATAATTTCTATATCAATTATAACAAACATTTCAGAGGTTGTATATGCCTTTTTACCTAAAGTATAATCCAAACGAAGAAAAAATATAACTAATTTTCTCAACGTTTGGTTTTTTCTCACCTACATTTACACGCCGCGTTTACATTTGGAACTTTCTAGTACATGCACTGAGTTTGAGTTATCGCCCGTGTTGATAGACGGTTAGATAAAATGACAGTTCTCTCTTTATTGGCAAATTAATTGATGAAAATAATTAAAATGGGGCATACCACCTCAATGCTTGTCAAATCATCGGATGATATTGCATATAATGAGGGCAATTTACACGCACGGGTAATTAACTTGTAGTTATATAGTAGACTAGTGTAAACAGGTTTCTTTTAAAAATGACCAGTGCTTACCGACGCCTATTCACTGAGTTAAAAAGAGACACGAGTTCTCAGAAAAAAATTCTTCACAATCATGTTGATTTATTTTTAAGAAAAATATTTTTGCGAATGCAATGCACGCGCAAATTTGCTAAAAAAATTATCTACAGTGAAAATTTCCAGATTTACGGTATGTGAATGCCATAGCATCTGGCTTAAAACATGAATCAAATTCAATAACTGGAAAGTTGTTGCTAATGCTCAGTTGACCTATAAGGCCCATGGGCCTCTTGTTATGGATTAAAAATCATTCAAAAAGATTTTAAGTTTTTAAAAGTGTTCTGTATTAGAGCACATTCTATACACATATCATACAAAAGTTATTATAAAATCTCTCCATTCACAGAAGCTACCTATTGACTGCTTCACATCCAAAGTGATAAAATATACTATAAGGGATACTCTGCAGTTTTATCTGTAATCAATTAGTTTTTGTACCAATTTTACTACTGGGATACCGGTAACTCCAAATTTTTCAAAGATCAACCCATGATATAGCATTACACTATTATAATTATAGCGCACAATTATGTTTATAAAATATTTTCATGCTTGCTTTGTTTTTATCTTCAGGAAATAAAAAAGTATTTTGGAGAGTTTTGGAAAGCTGTACCAGACGAGGACAGAGATTGGTTAAGTGAGTCTCTGAATGATCGGGAATATGCAGTCGGTTTAAAGAAACTTAATGAAAATACCAAGGAACACCTGGAGTCAATGAAAAAGTCCATAGTGGAACTATTTACAGATGAGAACAATACAAAAGTTGAATTGCCTTCTTCATGGGCTCTAATGGAGCAGTTATTGAATGAAGGAGACTGGAAGGTTTTGACCCTGAGTGAAATCTGGAAGCTCAACTTATCTCTTCCCCATGAATACCAAATCAAAAGTGATGAAGAAATGTCAAACTTTTTAAAATGTTTTCACAACCATGGTCTTCTTTTGAATTTTGAAGAAGTGGAATTGCGGGAACATGTTATACTAGACATTCAGTGGTTTGCTAATGCTTTCAGCAAGATAATTGCTGATGAAAACCACATCAATAAAGATTGTCAAAAAAAATTAATCAAAGAGTGGAAATCCTTCAACAAAACAGGGGAACTCAAAGAAACAGTAATAGATGCTTTGTGGAAAGATGAACCCTCTTACTTGAAACATAAAAATGAAATTATGTCATACATGGAGAAACTTCAAATGCTAGTACATTTGAATACATTTGAGGCTGTATCAGAAGGTGGCATGTCATGGTATGTCCCGTGTATGAACAAAAAGCAGTTTAAAGCTGACTTCAGTGAAGATAAATGGGAATGCTCATCCATTTTGTGCTATCGATTCACTTCATTTGCCATGTTTGTGTTCTACAGACTGGTTGCATACTGCATAAGTTCTCTAAGATGGAGTGTTGCAAAAGATGAAGATAATGAAGGAAGTCCATGTCTTTATCAAACGGCGGCAGTGTTTGATCATAATGCACACACTGTTGTTGTTGGCATATGCAATGATGATATCCAGTTGCAAGTGCTTAGAATCAAAGACTTGCCTATAGACATAGAAGTATCAAATGAAATTGGAGATTCTATTGAAAAAGCAGTAGAAAAATTGACAGAAACATTTATTGACACAAAAATATTCCATAGAGGATTCAAATGTCAAAACATTATTTGTCATGAGAAAGATTTATCTTTCAATCTTGCAAGTGAGCTTTCCAAAATCACAACCAATAAAATGCAGTGCAAGTGTCAACTTCAGGAGAAACATAAAATAGATGTACAGACAACTTTGAGTTTTTGGGAAAAGGTAAATATTGTTCATTACCTATATCCCTAAATTAAATAACAGCTATCTAGAATTGTCTCATTTGTCTATCAACCTGTTCCTACAATGTTGTTTAAACAAATACCTAGTTAATGAAAACATCTCAAAGATATTATGGTCATTATATTTGGTTTTATTTTATTTATTTACATGACTTAAAACTTCTGACACCCATTTCATCTAAAATTGCATGATCTGATTGTCATCTCCCTCGGGAGATGACACATTAAGATTGTATGCCGGACGTGAAATCCTAGTGTAAACCTCCATTAATCTTTCGGGAGTCCTCGATGTTTTACAGAGTTCCAAGTAGCCTGTAAACTGGTTTTCTTTTAGAAGAACTAGTTTAGGAGTGTGTGATCTACTTTCGGTTTAGGCCTATTTGAAAGCCAAGGAAAATTTAGAAAAGAAGTACGATGCTTATAAATATCTATAGTTCGGTGTGTAGTATATATATTGATTCTCAATACTATGCCTTATTAAATAATAAGCCACACAAGGAGAATTGACAATGACGTGATTTCTATATATAGATTTGTTGACACGAAGGAACATTCTGCAAAAAATGAAAGAAGAGTGGTCAACTCTAATTTTATGTTAATTTTTCAGTCTGTAATTGAATTTATTAAATTAATTCCTTTGAAACTTTAATGATTAGCTGCTTTTAAATGAATGATAAGTATTGTTGATAATTCCGTATTGTGTTAAGAAAATATAGTTCAAGGAAAGTATTTGAATTTAAGTAAATTGTAAACAACAAATACCGCTAGAATGAAATTTCACCAAAAATCGCCTTGGGTGCTCTCGCAGACGTCCATGCTTTCCATATATATACTGCGGCCAAAAGAAACTGCGTACTTTACTGTGGAGTTTGCTGAATAAGTCATTAGGGGACTTCAGGTGTAATAATCCATATATATTCATTGCATTAAAATATTTTCCTTTCTGTTTTATTTCTTTGACATTATTGATACTAAAGAGATGAAATTTCAGGCTTTCTGGAAAGCCAAACTTGTAAAATTGTTAAATTTGTAAATTCCCTTGAAGCTCACAAATAGCACCATGACAGTAATAAATTTAATCTTACTGAAACAAGTGACATATTCCAAACATACTGTAGATTTCTACATATATGGAATTAATCATCGTGTAATCTCACGAGAAGCGCCACGGGCGAAATTAAATTACTCACCTTTATTTTAATGCTGCTGAAATCTATGTTTAAACTCGTGATTATCCAACCATTTGCGAATTCTTATTCTTGCGCTTTGTTGTTGAGCCCATTTGTGATAAAATTTTCTCGCGAAAAATTAGGAATCTATAGTTATATATTTTAATAAAATATGTACACAATTTACATCTTTATATTTTTCTTTGTATCTGCTTAAGTTATCCAGTTTGTTCAATAGAGGTTAATTTTATTTCAGACAAAAATGAGCGTTCCTAAAACTCCAGTGGCCTCTGCTGGACATGACCTCGAGGGACGATCAAGATTCGCAAAACTTGGAATGGCAACAAACGATGTGTTAAATCAGGCATACAGAGATGTACTAGAGATGGAGGTGCCCTCTTTCTTGATTTACAACAAGGTGAAAGCATCACCAATTTATAAAAGATTACGCCCCGAACAAGAATATCTCTTACAGAATCCCCAACAACCAGGATATAAGAACTTTGACATTTCATTAACCTACACATTAATCCGAAACATTTGTTCAAAGATCCCTAAGCCAACAAAAGGAAAATGGGGAGAAGAGCCAGCAGCAGGAGAGGTGACAGTGGGTGACGATATCGAGAGAATTAGGTCCATCCGAAACAGTTTGACTGCACACGTGAGTTCAGCCTCCACCTCTCAGACAGAATTCGATGATACCTGGACGACGATGTCTGATATCTGCCAAAGATTGGAAACATTCACTGGGAAGAAATACTTGGACAACCTTAATAGCATTTATAAACTCACTTTAAAAGAAGGAGGTGAAGATGCAATTAAAGCTATTATAGAAAAGTTTGTCAATGATCAACATGAACAACATAAACTGTTGGTCAAGGATCAACACGAACAACGTGAACTGTTGAAGACAGTCGTATCAGATGTTCAAGAATTAAAATCTCAAATGAGGACATTAAAACGAATTTGAAGAATTGAACCATTCAGAAATAATAATTTTTACTCATAGAATGTTTTCAGTACTAGTAAACAATGAATACTTTAACACATGGTTGAAGATATTGAAAGAGTCATTGGTTGAAGTCTTTGGATAAGCTTAATTATAATTACAAACTGCATATGAAACATGTGGATATATGAGGAATTTGATATTTCATTAACACACAAGTTGAAAAGAAACATTTGTTCAAAGATCTGTAAACCAACATAAGAAAAGTAGGGAAAAGAGCCAGCAGCATGAGAGGTGACAGTGGGTGAGGATATCAAGAGAATTAGGTCAATCCGAAATAGATTGAATGCTCTCGGACAGAATCCAATAACACTCTGTCGACAATGTCGGATATCTGCCAAAGATCCACTGGAAAAAAGGACTTGGATAACATTAATACCATTTATAATGACTTTAGATGTAGATGCTATTTCAGCAATCATAGAAAAATTGGAACAACATGATATGTTGGAGAAATTCATATCCAGTATGCAAAAATTAATGTCAGATGAGTTAGATGTGAAAAATTTAGATCAAAATTTATGCTGACAGGCAGTGCTGCCCAAAGTCAACTTTTTTATGCATCGAACATATGCAGAGTGACTTTAACTTTTACAAAATTGAAAATCAGTTTTTATCAAGTGTGAAGCAATATAGAAATCATGATTTTTATCCCTGAAAAATCAAAATTTTAGAAAGAGACTAGAAGTCACTACGAAAATGCTGATGATATTTGGTTCATAACTTAATATATGTTTTGTATTCCTTTAGGATAACCTTTCTGTTTATAGAGTTTCAATAGTTTCGCACCTATAGACAGCCTTTAGAATCGTGTACTGAGGTATTTTTAGGATTAAACAGGATTTACTTCCCCTCTGACTTTAAATGACGCTTTTAAATGGCTCCCATATATATAAAATTGATGATTAAATATGTTCTGGATGGGGAACTGTTTGATAATGTCGAATAAGGACGGACTTACCAAAAAGCATTCCACTGGGATTACAATTATCATGGTGCTCAAAACACTGAACCTAATGTGAGAAACTGGACATTTTATGTGCTTTGTATCCAGCTATTACTAGATATTAAAGAAATAGAAAGGAAGCTATGCATATATACCCAGAAAATATGTAAAGAAGGCTTACCAAAATAAAGGACAGATCTACATAACATTTTTAACAAGACAAGAGCCTGGCGTCAAACTCTCAGACAAATTCAATGACAGTGGGCCTTGTGCATATGAATTCTGTGCAGTCGCTATTTTTATGGAATATCACCCGTAGTCAAGCAATGTTACCGTTGCTATGTTGGAGATAATGGCTTCATCATTAATCGGATAGCAGTGCTTTTAACAAATGTATAGCATTTAATCAAAATCAAAATCAATCAATTTACATGAAAGGATAATGTTATAGAATTGTTAAAATCCAAACAGGTTTAGATACAATCAAATGAAATGTCCAAGAAGTAAAACTGTAATCAACCGTAATAAAGGAGCTACAGATTAGGAGCTCGTTGATTATTGTGTAGAATATTAAAGAATTGCTTGTTTTTCTTAATCTTATAAGAATGGAGAGTGCTGGAGAGTTCATTTTATGTGAATGCATGTGTATGCTATACTGCTTGTACCTATTTTAGAGTAGCTGCAAAAGTTCAAATTTGTATGGAAGTGTCGGACAAGAAGGGAATATGTTCATTCACAATTGCATATTTTATTTAAAACACAGATTAGCGATCGACCTTTGTTGCTTGTGTTGATATGTTCATTTCATTTTGCTTGTGTATTGTAAACTTAATATCCAGTGGGATCAAAGTATTACAAAATGTTACTTGTTTATTTGAGTATACACGTATGTTATATTCTTATTAGTACACAGATTTATTATCCTACTTTGTTGCTTGTGACAATATGTTTACTTTATTATGCGCCCGGATCGATAGATCCTAGGCGTATATTGTTTTTGTCCTGTCTGTCTGTCTGTCTGTCTGTTTGTTTGTTTGTTTCTCCCCAAACTTTAACCTTCACCATAACTTTTGAACCATGAAAGGTAGAAACTTAATATTTGGTATGCATACTCCACTAATCAAGGTCTTTCAAATGACACCAATATGAATGACCCCGTGACCTTGAATGTGGCCTATATGCTAAAAATAGTTTTTCTGTCTGCAAACTTTAACCTTTGCCATAACTTTTGAACCATGAAAGGTAGAAACTTCATATTTGGTATGCATACTCCACTAATCAAGGTCTTTCAAATGACACCAATATGAATGACCCCGTGACCTTGAATGTGACCTATATGCTAAAAATAGCTTTTCTGTCTGCAAACGTTAACCTTCGCCATTACTTTTGAACCATGAAAGATAGAGACTTCATATTTGGTATGCATACTCCACTAATCAAGGTCTTTCAAACGACACCAAGGTCAATGACCTTGTGACCTTGACTGTTACCTATGCTAGTATGCTAGAAATAGCTTTTTCGATTTTTGTTGCCGCCGGGCGCATAGTGTTTCACAAACACATCTTGTTTTACTTATGTATTGTGTACTTTATATCCAACATGCTTCAACTAATTGACAGAATCTTTTATGATATTACAAATATACACATATATAATTACATGCCTGTTTGGCCCTCTACTTAGAACCCTGGGGCTTAAAATGTTGACAAGCTCACTGAAACGACAGTGAATAAGGACAGGGTCACATTGTTGATCCATCTGTATGTGAATCAGCAATCAAATCAATATACTGAATAATTTTTTTTCGACCTGTTACACGATTTTTTGGACTAACGGGAATAAAAATGCCAGTATACTGTACCTGTCCGTATACATCCATCAATTATTTTTCTAAAATCAGAGATCATTATTGCCTGACGTCACGGCGTCAGGCTGTATAAGGATTGATAATTGCTTGATCCGAAACTAATAGATCATACCCAGAGAGCTAGATTTTGTGCAACCTGATTTACATTGGAAATCTTTTACCTGCATTTTAAAAGAAACATTTTTCAGGGAAACAATGATTTTACTGATACAAAATAATGCAGTATTTCCTTTGTTTACTCTGTCTGCATGAAACAGATTATTCCATGTGATTAACCGTTTCAATGTGTCCGAGCATCTTTTCTTCTGCTTTTCTATACTACTGGATCAGTCCATTTATATTCTACGAAAGGGGTGAATCGCTCTTTTCGCGCCAAATGTCACGAGTAAGCGATCTTCGCGCCTTTTCTTGGATTGTTCTATTGTATGAATGGGGGTGCTAACTTTCATGGAATTAAATAGTTTGTTATTGTAACCTCCATCTTCTTATGATTCAGAAATTCTGTCTACAAATGTTATCTTATTCCTTAAAACAACATATGAATCGTATGTATCAAAATATGGACATGCAAAACAAAAGAAATGATTTCTCTAATATGTTTCCCCTCTGTTGGTTTATTCCATATTTTAATGGACTAGTTCAATCACCACAAACGATCGACGCAGTTCAACCAGATTCCAGAAAGAAATTACCTGTGCGAAATCTTGGATTTCTTTTCCACAAAGGCCTAGATCTAAATGTTGGTTTTACCTATTTCATTCTAAAAAAAACTATAATAGTACCCACCTTTCAGAATAAAAGATCAATGAACACAAACTACTACTGTTTTGGAGAAAATACTTTCCTACAAGATACGTATTTTACGACGGCGTATTAGTGCCATTTTAACAATGTAGAATTTTTTTTTAAAATCGTTTGTACGATTTAGTAAATCGTTTGTACGATTTAGTAAACCGTTTGTACGATTTAGTAAATCGTTTGTACGATTTAATAAATCGTTTGTACGATTTAGTAAATCGTTTGTACGATTTAATAAATCGTTTGTACAATTTAGTAAATCGTTTGTACGATTTAATAAATCGTTTGTACAATTTAGTAAATCGTTTGTACAATTTAATAAATCGTTTGTACAATTTGTTTGTTAAATCGTTTGTACAATTTATTTGTTAAATCGTTTGTACAATTTATTAAATCGTTTGTACAATTTATTGAATCGTTTGTACGATTTAATAAATCGTTTGTACGATTTAATAAATCGTTTGTACGATTTAGTAAATCGTTTGTACGATTTAATAAATCGTTTGTACAATTTAGTAAATCGTTTGTACGATTTAATAAATCGTTTGTACAATTTAGTAAATCGTTTGTACAATTTAATAAATCGTTTGTACAATTTGTTTGTTAAATCGTTTGTACAATTTATTAAATCGTTTGTACAATTTATTAAATCGTTTGTACGATTTAATAAATCGTTTGTACGATTTAATAAATCGTTTGTACGATTTAGTAGATCGTTTGTACAATTTAATAAATCGTACAAACGATTTATTAAATCGTACAAACGATTTAAAAAAAATTCTACATTATTAAATTTGCACTAATACGCCGTCGTAGTATTTAGTTATATCCATTATCTAAAATGTTCCATGCGCAGATCTAGAGCGGGACCCTCCCCCCCCTGGAATTTGCAAGGGTATTAAATTTATATACAAAAGCAAGAAAAAGGCTACCCCCCTGGTAAACGCTGGGGACTGGGCTGGACCCCCCCCACCCCCCCCCACCCTTGGAAAAATTTCTGGATCCGCGCCTGTGTTTAAAATGAATGATTTGACAACAGATTTCAGAATAGATGTAGCTTTAAATTTAGATCCAGTGGTAGATCAATCTACTTGCAGAAAGGTCAATCGCATCATTTGGGGTCTTTTCGTCAGAGGTCGAAAAACATCGACATCATCGGATGTTAAAAATTTATACATTTCCTGTTCATAATAAAAACGGAGTTAGAAGTCCCTTCTATAGTATATTTTAGATAATATCATTACATTGAATAAAGTTAACTCCATATTTCACAGATAATAGGTCTATATTCATCATCGATGCTTTTATTTCAAAGTTTGTGAAAAGGGGGGGGGTGTCATGGCGTATAGATTAACAATACATTTGTGGTCTTCTTCCTTAGATAAGGCCCGAGGAGTGGGACCGAGGAGTAGCGATTGACAGAAAACCCACATACATTAACCATTTTGTTAACAATTCTTCAGAATGCAGCAAAGGCTTCGTTCTTATACAAGTTAAATAATTAAATATTTTTACAAGGTTCTCAA